CCCCAAAACCCCAAAACCCCAAAACCCCAAAACCCCATGTGAAGAATTTAGTATTGAAATATTAGTCCTGGAGTTTAGGTAAGTTATAAAGTGCCTTTCTGTTTGCTCCTTCCTCAATCTCTGTAGCTAGGGTAGCACAGGAAGCTTACTAGGGTTGTCTTCTACCTTGGACAAGTGCCTTCTCACTTTCGAAGTGATACCGTAGTACACTTTTCCAGGCTTTTTGAAGTGCTTCATATCAAAATTGAAGAATTTTGAGTTCTTTTTAAAATAATCCCCTGTATCCTTAATCTCATAAAGTTGTTGGTAAGATATAAATTCATTGCTGCTCTTTGGAGGACTTTCACAGGGATCTTTTACTTCAGTCTTCACATTAGCTAGAATTTAAGTTTCTAATGAAGTTACCTAAAACTTTATTTGAGAACATAGCTCCTCTTTCTGGAGTTGCAGTCTTGCTAGACATGAAACAATCTTTATATTTAGAAGCCTATTTTTAAGACGAGCAATACCTTAAGATATTCTTGAGATACTCTCCCTAAGCAGTCTTGGTAGGACTTGCTATTGATCATGCTTGGCTCAGAGGATTTTATTTGAGTAGATTTCTCCAATTTCTAGAAATATTAATCAAATATACCTTGTTAAGCCTGGAAACCCTTCCTAAAATTTTTATTTGTCCCAGTTCTTTTTCTTGTGTCCTGCTTGAGTTTTTCACAAAAAAATTAGCTCGTGTCTGCTTTTTTGCACTGTTAGCAATCATATCTTTGTACCTAGGATAATTCAGTCTTTAGGTTACTTCAGCTTCCGTTCAAGTGTACTATTGGCATCTCGCTTATGTGAAGGTCTGGTTTTGAGATTATATGATAACTTCAACGACTTCTTTCTTGCTAGAAATATTAAATTTAGGCATACTTGAAGATCTGGGGTGTTTTATGTCACTAGTACATCCCTCCAATATCATCCGATTTTTGATATTTGTGGGACTCTCAGCCATTGCTGTTTCTGAAGGATCGTTAATATTTCTGCTTGAGTTCCTCTTAACCATATTTTTTACTATACAATGAGTAAACTGCTAGTATTTGAAGGAATAGAATATAATCGAAGCTAATAAAACACTAAGAAGCACTTTCTTACTCAGTCGATTCTGTGTATCGATTATATGAATCTCTATTCTCTTATTTTGATGCGACATTTGGTGAGAATTGCTCTTCTAAAGCGAAAATATCAGTATGAATCTCTTTAAACTGCAAAATGTGATCTAGTCGACCAACCCGCATACTCTTTGGGACACTCTGTGCTATTTTTTGTCTGCATTTGCCTTCTAAAGTCTATAACAGTGTTATCAGTGAAATTTCGCAACTGATGAGGCTCAAGAGCTACCTTTCAATTTATACAAGTCTCTTGTTATTAGAATAATCCTGGATGTTATAATTAGGAATTTTAATCTTGGGCTTGAAGGAGATCTTCCTATACATATGATGGAATCTCTCCTTCTTAGGGCCTTTGAACTTGGAAGGGTAATCCATTTATAAATAATTATATTGCTACAAGTCGCTACCTCCACTAGTGGGGTTTTGGGGTTTTGGGGTTTTGGGGTTTTGGGG